AGTTAGATGGAAATTTCTGTCTTGTATAAAACAGAAATTGATGTTCTTTTGTACAACAACAACAAGGTTATTGAGCAAAATGACGTGTATTTCTTATTTTGCATTTTATTCATATAAGCGTTGGCATTCCCCACAACAGCCAATCACAGGAAGGTATTTGTTGGAAACTCTGCCTGCAACAGTTGATTTCTAATGAACTCTAACAATAAATTCGTTTAATAAACGAGTATTTTGGGCCAAGCTACAGATGAACATTATAGGATAACGGTGTTTTAGCTTGCAGCTTCGTTAGACAGAATCCCTGGTCTCAATTTTTAAAATATAGAACTAGAAAGCGTATTTTATTGCTAACTTTTCAAGAAATAAATCCCAGTCTCATATTTACGCACATTTATGCATTGATTTTTTGGCTTAAGTTCTTATCATAATCCCTTTTGCAATCTCAACACCATCTGGCTCGTATCTTGTAACTATCTTCGTTACTTAGCCTCAAAACCTTACATTTGTCTTACATATCCTCAACAGTAGATTAAAAAAAGTAATTGCAGAATTCTAGTTACCTAACACCAGCATGGAATAAAACCTTATTATAAGCTACCAGACGTATAGATCAGTGTTTAAAGTAATAATAATACATTATTATTAACGTAATAATATTATTTAAATAATAATAATACAGCTGATGCCATCTGTCGGCAGAAGAGAACACTATCAACTGGCAGGTCAACAGTGGCCATAAGATACAGCTTACGCCATCTGTTGACATCAAATTACACTTATAACAAATTATCCCACAAAATACAACTAACGCCATCTAGTTTTTTTCCAACGCACTATAAATAGCCAAACAGCAACCCATAAGGCGGGTTGTTGTGCTCGGGTAGGAGGTTCCAAGCTCCGCCCACAGATGGTATGGGGTGCATAATAAATGGCATATCATTAGTAGATATTCTTTGTTGACATTCACACAACAGCCAATCACAGGAAGGGATCAGCTAAAGGCTCCATCCACTTAGTAAATCATCTTAGTTCAGCCCACTAGTCCTGCTTATGGAATTCTGCTTTAACTTTAATTTACCCAAAAAAATGAAGTGTTACTTATTTAAAGTGTTAATAAAGTGATAATTAAATATTGCAAGATATAACAGATGTTATATAAAAATGGGCTGGCAACCTAACTTGTGACGTCATCAGTGGGGGTTGCCTTGACACAAATAATGATACACGGCTCTGCCCTCTTATTCGAGTAAATTATTCAGTTAAATGGAGATTTCTGTCAGGTGCAAAACAGAAATTGTTGTTCTTTTTCACAACAACCTTGTTGTTGTGCACAAGGGCCTATTTCTTAGTTTAAAATTTATTCATAAAAGTGTTGGTATTCCCCGCAACAGCCAATCACAGGAAGGTATTTCTGGAAGCTCGGCCTCCTTATGGACTCACCATTTGGTCACCATTTGGTCCGGGAGACATCTCCCGTCACGCAGGGTGCAGTTGCGCCTCCACAGATCTCCAGTATCATCTTTTGATACTGGTAATGGCTCAAAAGGGCCACCACTTACGGGCTATTCATGCCCGTGCCACCTCTTGGGTGGTGGCTTAATGTTCATCAATCAATCAATCCTTATGGACTCAGCACATCGCTCTAGCTCATGGCTCTCTGTTTCATCTCTTGTATATACAAACTATAACTTTTTTCGATTACTGTTATAATTAATAATATGAGATATAAAAGTTTTTACACAAAATGGCTAAATTCTGCCATTAAATGGACTTTGTCTGATATACATACAAACATACACCAATTTATTACCATTCATCCATTATTAATTTCAAATGTAATGTATACTGTGTAGTTTTTTTCCTCTCGCCATTACTTGGTGCAATATTTGAAAGTTGTCTATTTATTTATCGATTTATCTTTTATCTTGTATTTATATTTACAAGTTTCTGTGCTTGGAAGAAAACTCGGCATTGAATTGAAACTAATTTATTAAATATTATTATTTAGTATTAATTAATATTTACAATTACTATTAATTACAATGATTTATAGCTTAGTTACATTCATGTAACTCGCAATCGTACATTCTTAACATTAATAGCCCAAATTAGCACATCTTGCTTTTAAATTAGGCCAAAAAGTAGCAAGTAGCGAAATTAAAAATTTGGGAGCGCGGGGCTCTCAAAAGTAGCCCAATTCGCTACTTGTAGCCCAATCTGGCAACTCTGGGCGGTTGTGGGAAGAGTTACAGAGGCCCATTTTGGGCACATAATAGTTATAATAATAATAATAATAATAATACTTATTCATTGTGTCAAGGACAGGCAGCTTGTTTATATATACATGTTAGGCTTATATTAAGGTCCCCCCCCCCCCCGCCCAAACAGGGGGACCTTAATATAAGGTCTATGGTGGTCTATAGGTGAAACTAATTACTCTCCCCCAGCATGCAACCTCACAAGAAGCTGACCAACAATCAATCCTAGATCTAAAACTACTGCTAGGTTCCTAGTTATAATATATGATATAAGGACTCCAACACACTAAATACAAACTTAAATTAATGTTCATACTAGAGATATTGGACCCACAAAAATGTTTAAAGGAGGCAAAAAGGAGTTATTGGATATTCCAATAACGTGCAATACGATCAGGAAGAGTATTGACAAACTAATATCTAGGACTCTGCTACTTTTATTGGATGATACATCTAAATCTGTCTCTTCCTATTTCCTCCTCCCATCTCCAACATTTTCTCATCTCCCTAACCTCCATTTCTTCCACTTCCTCCCTATTCCTCGTCTGGAGTCCAACTTCGAACAGACATTTCCATTTGTATATGAATTAAGTTCATCATTTTTGCATAAATTATGAAAATGCACGGATAAACAGAGGCAGTAAACACTAAATAAGAACTCGGTGGAAATCACATCCGCAATTTAATTTCAGACCATGAAAATTGCACGGGGGTTGTGTCAGAAGTTCATGTTTCTTAACGTGTGGCATTGGAGCTGACCCCTGACTGGCCAATGCGTGTCCAAGACCCCACGTACTTCGTGTGTGAAAGTTTAATGAGGTTATCTTGAGATGATTTCGGGGCTTTAGTGTCCCCGCGGCCTGGTCCTCGACCAGGCCTCCACCCCCAGGAAGCAGCCCATGACAGCTGACTAACACCCAGGTAACTATTTTACTGCTAGGTAACAGGGGCATAGGGTGAAAGAAACTCTGCCCATTGTTTCTCGCCGGCGCCCGGGATCGAACTCGGGACCACAGGATCACAAGTCCAGCGTGCTGTCCGCTCGGCTCTCTGACTGGCTAGCCCTAAGCCTCTGGCTAGCTTCTAACCTCGGACAGACTCACAGACAATCTCTTTCATAGATATAGATAAAAGCAAACCATACATAGTAGTATATAAAATATCTTTACCAGTGTGTTGATATACTTTTATTATACAAAAAGGTTGTCAAAATACATAACCATAAGTAGCAAATACATTATATAAAATTACATCTTTACTGCATCCATATAAAAAAAACAGTGACCCCTTAAGAGCAAATTTGCTAACTATAAAAATGCATAAAATACAAAAGTACATAAAACAAATAATAAAAATGTCTTTTGGAAAAAGTGTAATGCTAAGATAATCAAAGAACAACATAATTCAACTTTTATTTTTATAATTTAGCCAAATTCTGTTTACGAACCAAAACTATAAACTCAGTTTACTGAACTCTGATGAAAAATACTGACAGATAATACTTTTAAATTAGTATTCAATAAAATATTTATAATAGTGGATCTGAACATTTAATGTTATAGTAACAACACAGGCATCCATAATATACCAAGATTAACACACTCAAAATTATATCTACACCCAAAATGCCCACCATGACCGTGTCATCAAACAACGATTAAGTTTCTAAAAATGCATTTGCTTTTTTAGTTTGAAAACCAACATAATTTAATACAATTTTATATCCTGGAAGCTTAATATGTATTGGAATACACAACTTCACATAACAGGAAATAAATTTATAATACAATCAAAGCCATTGTAATTAAGCCTCTCCCCCAAAATATACAAAAAAATCCATTTAAATGCTACAGTGCAGTACATATATAGTACTAATACAATACACAATTATTACATACAAAAATGTCTATAAATCTTTAAATAAACCTGTTCTAATTGAGAAAATAAAACAAATAAAATAAAAGATTCCAATTTTTTCTAAAGGCTAAAGCAGTGAACAGGATAAGGATTCTGTACCCACACAACTGATACATTCTCATGCAGAAAATACACTGAAGAAACAGACTAAATTGCAACAAATTTGCATAACTTGTCCACAAATCCATCTAATTGAAAATTTAAATTTGTTGATTTATGAACAAATCCACAAGGGCCGTGACGAGGGTTCGAACCTACGTCCGAGAGGATCCCAGACGCTGCCTTAATCAACTGAGCTACAACATGGTTAAAAAGAATTGCAACTGGTGAATTTGTTGATTTATTATACAACATGGAAATCCTCAAATGCAAAACTCCTGTTGAATTTAGATCATCATAAGTACAAAGAAAAAAGATAAAGTAAAATATCCTCCATATTTTGCAAGTGGAATATTACATTATCATTTTATATTAAAAATTTTGGGGTTCTATAACTTAAGAGTTCTCACCTTTGTCTCTGAGATGATGAATTGATAAACGCAGACGATGAGTCACAATAACGTGGCTGAAGTATGTTGACCAGACCACACACTAGAAGGTGAAGGGACGACGACATTTCGGTCCGTCCTGGACCATTTTCAAGTCGATCACAATCGACTTGAAACGTCGTCGTCCCTTCACCTTCTAGTGTGTGGTCTGGTCAACATGAGCTGATAAAGTCAAACTGATAGTGGGTTGACTGCTTCAAAGAACTCTATTAACTTGTCTGCTCATCAACCATAGTTGAGTTTCCAGTTTAAATGGAGCAGAAAACATACACCAATACCCAACAAAAACTAAAAATACTGCATATCCAGAAATCCTAAAGTTCCTACTCATATAAAAACCAAAGTAACACAGCAGACATTATGAAACAAAAGGTAGGGGCATCCATACAACCTGTCCTCTTACAAATTACGTCTCAATTTAGCCGTTTGCCCGAACTGATGTAATTTAAAAATGAAAAAAAAATTGAAGATAAGTTTGGGATTTTTTTTTTCCAAAACAGCAAGTTAAGGGTCCTCTGGTAGGTTAGGATGGCAGGAAATTCTCCTAAAGTTTCAAAACGTCATGAAGACCATTAATTGAAAGTGTCCTCTCCTAACCTAATAGACTAAGCTGGAGGACCCAAACAGAAAACAGGACAGTACATCACTTTCATGAGCCGATTTCACTTCAAATGACATCAGTTTTCAACCATAGCACGCATACGCGCGAAAAGCAACGTTATTTTTAAGAGGACAGGTTGATCCATAAGCGCGGCTGAATCAGCATATAATTTCCATAGGTCGTATAATTTCCGTAAGTGACATAATGTCCAAGATGCAAGCATCTTGATCATTACTGCTGGAAGTAAGTAATTATCAGACAAGGTGGCAAGCCTGGAAGATTATGTAGTACCGTCTAGGTCGCAAGGTATCATTACTGCTGGATTTTAGGTAGAACCGTACATCAAAGAAAGGATGTGTATGAATCAGTACACTAATGACTGAAGACATCTCCAAATTCAGGAGACTATTTTTTTGTATTTCCCCTAATAAAGTTAAAAACACTATTACTTTCTCATGTTAATTCTCCAAGCGAGACAATAATTACTTGTTTCCTAATACCAGATCCTCATTATGGCAGCACTGTAAGCTACATACAGTATAAGCATATATTTATTTTGGATAATGTGTTCTTATTGCAGAAAATACTGAACGTCCTTTATGGCTTGAATGCAGTTCTATATCAGCACAATACAACTAGTGACAAAAGTTTTAGTTTCTTAATTGGAGTGTTGTAGAGCTTTATACATTAGATGAACTGATTTAGCTTCTAATCCTGATGTTTCCATCATAAAAAATGTTATATTCCTTGAAGCTACATCATTTGGCTAATGAGTAGCCATAGTACAAAGCTGATTAAAAATGCCCCATTACCAAAGATGAGTGAAAGCGGTTGGTGTTATACGCCAATAGGATTCATTAAAGTTTAAAAGTATATTAGTACTTGAAATTAAACACATTACTTCATTTTTTGAGAGAGTTTTTGTTGACCTTATACCTGAAGTGGAGCTCCTTAATTTTTTGTAAAATTTTGTGTTATACATTTCCTCTTTACATCAACTAATATCTGGATCAATGGAGTCTGACTAGCTGTACAGTACTCCTTGTGAGCTGTCATATCTAATATGCTGACTTCCTCTTCACAAACAGGTGCAACCTCGATGTGTTTTCTACGACACTGTTTACACTCGTTCTAAGCATTCCCTCACACGCACTCACTGTCTCTCTCTCTCCACCTTCTTCATCTTCCATTTTCCATGTACAAGATACATATACAATTGTAACGACACTGCTGGTAAAAGAGCCAGTGTACTGTAATGGCTATGTATAATAACGTAACACTGCATACTGGAGTCAAGTAATTTAGGTAATATTTTTACCTAAAGTAATAGCAGTACTGTATAACATTTTGCCTATAGTGTTATAAAAGAGCTGGTTCTGATATATGCCAAATTACTCAAAACTTCCTCTCCCTCCTTTCAAATTCATTCAAATAAATTCTCTTATCATTATTCATTCGTTCAGTATGACCAAACCACCTTGGAACAATCCTCAATTTTGTAATTGATAAACTTTTGCAGCTTACATTTTTCCATGACATTTACATTTTTTACTCTCTTCTCTAAACACCACATATGCTTCTCAAAGAGTTCCTTTTTACTATTAAAATGCTTGAATTTTCATATTCATGCCACACCAACCTTTCATACCCAAACATAAAGAAAGGCACTACCACTCCACCAAGTAGACCTTCAACTATGTCCCTTCCAATCCTGTTCTTTGCATCAACTTCTATTTCATCAACAATTTTCCTTCCCTTAACTTCACTTGCACAAAATTCCTCTTTTGTTCACCACAGATCGCAGGTATTTAATCTGAACAACAACTTCAGCATTTCCCCATTCAAGTGCACTATGGGCTCACCATAGCCTGTGCTACTCGGAACTTTTGTTCCAAATAGTTGAATCTAAAACAACAACATTCCACATCAACACTAACTTTACCTGTCAACATTCACTTCGAATAGACTCATCTCATTCATTAATCATTTAACTTTTCTATAAAAATCAACCTTGTTTTCTCTAAAAGAACTAAGTAATCTACATTCATCAACTTTTGTATATTCTAATTACTGGTACTCTTATGATACAGTAGGTTCACATCTTGCCATGATATTCTCAATTTTACCTCCATCATAACCTCTATATATGTACAACAAGCTGAACCACTAAGAGGATATCCATGGGATACACTTACAATAGTACCAAAGCAATTGCTCATTACACAGTACCCTGTTATGCTTGTACTAGATCCTACATAAAGGGTCTTTGTAGCACCAACTCAATACAAGTTCGTTACTCTCCAGAGTCCTTCTCTATTAACGTCATCGTATTACTTCTCCAATTCCACAAAATCCACATTCACCACATAATCCTTCCATCAAATTTACGAGTACTAAAACCTCTGAATACATGTGAACTCCATTAAAAAAAATGCCCTCAAAAAGTATTGTCAGACAACTTATATTACAATTTCAGATATAATAATCCAAGTACTGTATAGCATTTTCCATATATTGGTAGGCAATTTAATATTACTGAATGAACTTATGCATTTTCATTCAAATGGAGGTCTTTGGCAACAACATAAGCTGCTACATGCATCATGGAACTCTTGTTGGCTTCGAAAACGGCGATAGCACGTTTCCGCATCTCCTTCCACTCGTACAAATCCCTGAGGGTTTAGGAAAAATAGAAAAATTACCACATAGCTCTAAACACACATATTAATATAAAAAAGAGGTAGGAGCAAGAACAGGAAGCTCTAGATTTGTACAGGGTTTATGTCCCTGTAAATATCCATGTAGAGCAAAAAACTGACCAAATCCGTATAAAGATACAGTATATGGTGTAGGAAAATCGGGATATGTTCCATAGAACTCCAAAAGTCAACTTTCCACTATTTACTCAATAAAAAAACAACAATGTTGAATGTAATGAAATGCCAATTTCTGGGCGAGCCCCAGCGAGTTGCTGTAGCTAACATCTCCGATGTCCATTCGTCCAAATACTGTAATGTACATATTGTTTATTACTATCTGTATTTATTGTCTCCCCAGCTGACATAACAACAGAACATTACACCTCTCTTGTCTCCTTTCTAGAGAGTACATTTTGAGAGCTTTGAGACAGTCCCAATAATTTACATGTTTTATCGTTTCTATGTGTGCCGTATAAGTTCTGTGTACTCTCCCCAATTCAGGAATCTCTTCTGCTTTGAAAGGTGAAGTGAGTACCGAGCAGTACCCCAGACAGGACAGCACCAGTGATTTAAATAGTATTAGCATTGCTGTGTGGTTTCTAGATTTGAACCTTCTCATAATCCAGCCTGTAATTTTCCTGGCTGCTGTTATATTTGCTTGGTTATGTTCACTAAATGCCACGTCATCAGAAATCATAATTCCAAAATCTTTTATATGTTTTTTCTGTAAGTGTGATTGTGTCCTGTTCCCTGTATTTCATAGCAGTCTCCGTGGTGTAGTGGTAAGACACTCGCCTGGCGTTCCGCGAGCGCTATGTCATGGGTTCGTATCCTGGCCGGGGAGGATTTACTGGGCGCAAATCCTTAACTGTAGCCTCTGTTTAACGCAACAGTAAAATGTGTACTTGGATGAAAAAACGATTCTTCGCGGCAGGGGATCGTATTCCAGGGACCATAGGATTAAGGACTCGCCCGAAACGCTACGCGTACTAGTGGCTCTACAAGAATGTAACAACTCTTGTATATATCTCAAAAAAAAAAAAAAAAAAAAAAAAAAAAAAATTTAAGTTCCTGGTTTCCATCATACCTTGGTACCTGGAACTTATCCCCATTAAACATCATGTTTTTTCAATTGCCCAATCAAAGAATTGATTGATATCGGCTTGTAGTTTTTCAGCGTTTTCAATAGTGGTAATTTTCATGCAGATTTTTGTATCATCTTCAAAGGATGAAACGTAGCTGCAACCAGTATTTTTGCCTATATCCGAGATAAGACTGAGAAATAGCAGTGGTGCAAGGACTGTGCCCTGGGGTATGGAGCTTTTCACTCCACTTCGACTCAGATTTTTCCTATTAAACGGATTGTACCATTTATGGTACAGTATACAGTAAAAAAATTATAAACAAAACAATGTATTTTAATAATAATATTTACTTCTAAAGGTAAAAGAACCATACTTTCAACAAATCTTTGATAAAGTTTACTTTATCTATACTTTACTTTCAAATAAATAGATACTGTACTTTCAAATAAAATAGCCAAATCTTCCAGAATTATTAAAGGTATACTGTATTATACTGTATTTACATCTGAAATTTCGAGTTTGCATCATCAATATAATTCAATATTTTACAGTTACAGTATAAACAATTCACCTGTAATAAATAAAGTTACAGTCCCGCTCCTGTGCCACGTAAGTCCACTATAAGCTCACCATATCCCGTGCTACTCGGAACTTTTGTTCCAAGTAGCTGAATCTAAAACCAACAACAATTACAACAATCACCTAAATATGGGCCGAACAAACTTCATGCGTCCTTGTTCTGTAATGAACTTCAGTGCTTCATCGACTCTGTCATCCCAGCGAGCTTTCAGACCAAGCCGTAACCATTGGAATTTGATTTCCGAGTTACTGCGAGAAGACATTTTATACAGTTCATTCATCTTCTCGAGCTTTTCCACTGGTAATTGTTCTCCTCCGAATAACTCAGCCAGCCACTCTCGTATCTGAAGATTACAGAAGAGGGTACACTAAAAAATTACATTCATGCCTTATATATCACACACACATTTTTCTAGGGGTATTAAAGTTAAATTTGGAAATAAATAATACAAAAGTAATTTTTCAGGATAGTTTCATAATAACCTACTGAAAAATTGACAACATTTTCCCCAAATTTCATGTGTGGGTTTTCATTATCATCATATGGCCAGGACAACCATTAGTATTCTTGTCATAAATAGGAAAAATTAGATTTACAGTACTTCTACTGTAATATGAAAAACATTGTCTTTGTTATCTTTAAATAACAAGCAAAGAGAGATAATACATTTTAATTAACACTGGTCAGACCTTGTCAAACATTATGACTCAAATAAATTACAAATGTTTCAAAATTGATTGCGATATATAATTAGCTCCAAATTTTGAGGATAGTTTAAGTAATTAATGCCTCATAATTTAATGTGGGATACACTTCATAATTATTATTTCTTTTAGGAATTCTCTACCTAAACCCGGTCTACATCAAGAAATACCAAGTGCCTTATGGTCTGCAAGAGTATATCAAATAAATACATTTCCATGCAAAGACCTGGTGACACGATTACACATCAATTTACTTGATTAGGCGACATTTTGTTAAGGTCATCTGCATGGAAGGGGCAGTCCGTGGCTGTGTCCCACTCAATCCACCGCTTGCAGAGGTCTTTACACACAACAGCTAGCGAGTCATCAAACCTGTAGATTTAGGACAAATCTTAAATTATCCACAACCTGAAAATATGGTTCACTCTACTTGAAATTAATTGAGGAAGAATATGTTATGAGAGAGAGAAAAAAAACAGTGTTCAATGTAATGAAACGTTAATTTCTGGGTCACCCTTGATGGTTCCCAGAAGCTACTACTGTATATATCTGATATAAGAGTGCCATCAGTTGCAGAGTTGTATTTGGCTTACTGGGGATCACGAGCCAGAACCTGGCCCCCCTCAGAAAGGCACAGAGAGCAGTGGCACGTATGAAAATGTTGTATGTAAATTTATTTCTGCCTTGGATAAAAATGAGACCACAGCTTGAAAACAGCCAAAGAACTCCCCAAAAGTGAAAATAAATGATTGAAAATTCTTAAAACTAGCACAAGAAGTGCTAACTTTAAAACTTAAAACAAGTTTGCCAAATTTACCCCCCCTTCTTTTGAGAGGAGGGAGGCAGTACAGGTCAGCTGGCTGCCCCACCACCAGTCCTTATGATGATGGAAACCACCCCAATGACTGGGGAAAGGGAGAGATGTCAGGGAGTCACCCAGAAATTGGTGTTTCAATACATTCAACACTGGTTTTCTGGGAGAGCCCCTTGTGGCTCGTTGAAGGTCACTACCCAGAGAAGGAAGAAAAGGGGAGCTTATCAGTAAGAAGCAAGCACAGCAGGTATCAAGATGAAGAGACCATGACCTCGTGACAAATGCCACAGCGTAACACAAGGTTTCTTAGAACTGGGAACGCTCACAATATACCTGACTGACAAGACCCTGTTCAAATACCAAAACCCCAGTGCCCAAATATCAGCCCAAGACAAATTAGCAAAGACTGCTGAAAGAGCGGCATACTTATGCATATCTTGAGCACGAGGGTAGACTGTGGGTTGGCTAGACTTAATGACAGAGCAGACGACCTGAGAAACAAAAGCCTTGGAACAAAAAAGCAGGGAAACTGGATTCATCTACAAGGAGATCACTGAAGCTGAACCAATACCACGAAGGTAGTGGTGCAGAGATGCCACCAGACACAGCACATAATGCATCCCAAGCTGAACCAACCAAGTTTGGTTAGTTTGGATGCCGAAAACACCACCGATCCGAAGACAGACAGTTCAAGACAACTAGCTTACCTGAAGGGCAAGGGCCACCACAAGCAAGGAGACCCTAAGGAAGTGAGCCCCGAACACTCCAGGGAAGATAACCCTGACAGTGTAAGGCAGCACTTAAGGAACACACAGGGGTAGGTAACCCTGAGCACATGCAGCTGCAAGCACACTAAACTACTGGCTCATGCTGCACAACCGTGCACAGGAAAAGCTGCAAAGGCAAAACACTACTTAGTCAAAGACAGGAGACTGGAGCCAGAGTGAACTGAGAGGGCAATCAGGCAAGTACATACAGTATCAGAACAAGAGACGGTGGTGGAGCAGCCGGCTGACTCGGTCTACCTCTCCCCTTCCCCTTTTAAAGGGGGGGGGGGGGCGCAGGAGAGGCAAACTAGCTCACCCTAGTTTTACAAATTTTTGATAGTTTGTTAACATTGTTGGGGAAATTCTTTTGGCTGTTTTGAGGCTGTGATCTCGTTTCTAACCAATCAGTGATCTGTTTTGTTTTGCTGACTGTCAGTGTGCCTTCCCTTAGTGGTGACAGACATGAATAAATTTACATAAAATTTTTCATACATGCCACTGCTCCCTGTGCCTCTCTGATGGGGTCAGGTTCTGGCTCGGGGTCTCCAGTAGGCCAAATAGAACTCCACAACACATGGCACCTTGTAGTCTGGCACTACATCAGATATGGTAGCAACTTCAGGGAGGCACAAGGGGCTCCCCCGAGAAAATCATATCAGCAGGCGATGAGTCACAATAACGTGGCTAAAGTATGTTGACCAAACCACACACTAGAAGGTGGAGGGACGACGACGTTTCGATCCATCCTGGAGCATTCCTGAACCTGGACCATTCTCACAATCGACTTGAGAATGACGGACCATTCTCAAGTCCCAGGATGGACCGAAACGTCGTCGTCCCTTCAGCTTCTAGTGTGTGGTCTGGTCAACAAAATCATATCAATAATGTCTACTTCCATTGTTTAAAATATTCAAATGGGAGGATATAAGGCAGATAAAACAAGCAACATGATCACTGAACAACCAAATACATACTCGGGTTTAATGGGTGGCATGCCGGGAGTGTACCACCATGCATCCCAGTCGACTGCATCGAACACTTTCTTTTTGTCCACAAAGAATTCAAAGAGGAAACTGCGGAAGGTGTCCGAGGTAATTGACTGGTACTTAAACTTAGTCAGGTATGCCTTTAAGAACGGTTCAAACTCATCTGTTAAAAAAACAAGAACATAAAGAGCTGCAAGTAGAAAATTACCATAAAGCTAACAAATAATAATCACAGATGCCTTTATAAGCATTTCATTATTAAGGCATAATTTTACATTTTGTATGTATACATATGTAGAAATGTATACAGTGTATCCCTGCTTGATCAAATTATTTGGCGGGTGAGGCCGATTCATTCCATAAGGGATTTAATTTGAGCAGCAACACTACAAGCAATTTCCCTGCCCTCAAGGAAAAATCTAAATGGGCTTACATCTCCTATAATGGGTATAAAGGTTTGTGACTTACCTTACCAGAAGAGTAGTCCAGTGAAAAAATCTTCATAATAACCTTGAAGCACATTTAAGTATAAATCCACCATTATCCATCTTTCTATATGACTATGTTAAAACAAATCTCAGAAAATCAATTTATTATGTGCTTATTTTATTTATATATACAAGAGTTTCTGACCAGTACTGGTCAGAACAAATATGATATATGTACTCACATGTAATGGACCTACCACAAAAATCTCCCAGTCAAAAAACCAGAGTTGAATGTAATGAAATGTTAATTTCTGGGTGAGCCCCAGTAGCTCCCTGAAGCTACTATACCTGGCTCTGCTTCCGCAAGGAAAGCGGGACCAGCCAACTCCACCACAGGCTGCCAGAAACAACCCAAAAAGCCCTCTAATCATGGGGCAAAGCATCAGCAAACAGTGCGAGTCTTCATCCAACTGTCCCATCGAAGGGGTGACCCATATAAGGCTGACGTAAAAACCATGAACCAGCCTAAAAACCAGAGTGAGCATGGCGCCAATCAGATAATAAAGAATCGGTTGTGGGAAGTGCATGTGACCCGGTATCCGGCTCCTGAACTGTATTCACCTAGTTGTGCTTGCGGGGGTTGAGCTCTGCTCTTTCGGCCCGCCTCTCAACTGTCAATCAACTGTTGCTAACTACTATTTTTTTTTTCATTCCCACACCACACACACATCCCAGGAAGCAGTCCGTGACAAGTGACTAGCTCCCAGGTACCTATTTACTGCTAGGTAACAGGAGCATCAGGGTGAAAGAAACTCTGCCCATTGTTTCTAGCTGGCGCCAGGAATCGAACCCGGGACCACAGGATCACGTGTCCAGCATGCTGTCCAGTCAGCCACTGTACTGTGCGCCTGATGAAGGCGAAGAGGGTAACGACCCTGGCCAGACTGGTGAGCGCTGATCACGAAGCCCCAACTGAGAGCCGAGACGTCCACGGAGACGAAGAGCAAGAGCGCAGGAAGGCGCCGGGGAATCGAATCCCTAAAAATACTAAAGAGGAAGCCAGTGATGCAGCAGCCGGCACAGTGCCCCCCATAGTCCACACCCAGCAATTGCGAGATTCAAACGGGGCTGCTCTGAAGAAACCAGAATAACTTCCAAAGCCAAACCCGGCTCAAAGGAAAACCAGAAGGGTAAAGTTCAGGCTCCAGTACAACTGTTTGAGCAGTTGCAGCAGATAAAAACTGAGAATCCATGTCCTCAGGAAACAAAAGTGAAGAAAAGGGAGAAGCAGAAGTGAGAGTCACGACTGATGCCGAGCCTATAGATTGGGCCAGCACAACTTGCCGACACACGAGACAGGAGGCAAAAAACAAGGAGATTGCCTCCTAGAGGATCAAAGCATACAGCTTAAGGAGGGCTGCTAACGCAGAAGCAACAGAGACCAAAACACCCGCAAAAGGAACCTCACCCATTCCCCAATGTCCCCCGAGGGTCAATCAGAATGAAGTTCTAGGAGGCTCAAGAAACGCATGACAGAATCCAAGTGCAGGCATGAAGGTTGTATGCAACATAAGCAGCCAACAGCTGGTGGACTTGAGCATGCAGCTGCACAATACCCGAAATCACAGGAAAGGGCAGGAGTGAAGAGGAACACATTGAGAGACTCAAAAGAACCCCCCCTCCCCAAAATACCTGTAACACAATAGAAACCTCCCGGTTTTGAGGCTGCAGTCTTGGTTCTAACCAAGCAGCTGTCTGTTTTGTTTCGCTGACTCTTTGTGTGTGTTCCTTTGGTGGTTGCAGGCATGAATAACTTTACATAAAAGGTTTCCATAATGACATTTCTCCTTGTACCTCTCTGAGGGGACCAGGTTCTGGCTTGTGGTCTCCAGTAGACCATTAAGAACATTTTACAGTCTCTGTGGTGTAGTGGTAAGACACTCACCTGGCGTTCCGCGAGCGCTTTGTCATGGGTTCATATCCTGGCCGGGGAGGATTTACTGGGCGCAATTCCTTAACTGTAGCCTCTGTTTAACTCAAGAGTAAAATGTGTACTTGGTTGTAACAACGATTCTTCGCGGCGGGGATCGTATTCCAGGGACCTGCCCGAAACGCTACGCGTACTAGTGGCTCTACAAGAATGTAACAACTCTTGTATCTCAAAAAAAAAAAAAAAAAAAAAAAAAGAACTCTGATGGCACCTGGTAGTACAGGGCTATATCAGTGTAGTAGCTTCAGGGTTACTGGGCTTCCAAGAAAAACTGAGTACTGTAGTGTATTATAATTTAAATGTTTGGTGGATTTTCAAAGTAGATGCCACAACCTGCGGTATCAGAACATGAGCATAAGTCTTATTGGATCCTGCACACTGCAACATTGGAGATATTGTTAATAAATATTGAATTTAAAATTCACAACCTACCTGGCCCTCCCACTAGCGTCTCGAGGTACCAGAGGAAGGTGTGTCCTTTTTCGTAAGGCACAGTAGAAAAGGAGTCATCTGGATCCACCCCAGTCAAGTCTGGTATGAGACAAGTGAGTGGGTCTTTCTCTCCTCTTGTCCGAATCTAAAATACGAACCAATACTTGAAAACCCACATTTTAGAAGAGATTTAGTGATAATGTTATCGAATTTTATCCCTCATGACTTGATTGCCAAATACAACGATGTTTAAAATATTTAAAAAGTGATATTGAGTAGGACGGCAAATTACAAGAAAAGACAAAGAACTTGAAAAAGAAATTTGGTGACAGGAAGACTTTCAGGTGTTTAGTACTACTACCCTCTCTTGGTAACACTGTACATGCCAAAATTCCTTCAAATATATTAACTATTGCATCTTTTCACACAAACCGCTTGCATTTCTTTCACAAACAGTGATTCATCACAATATGTACAGAAAATGAACAATAAAATCAATAAAATATAATAAGTCTCAGAAAAGTCAATAATAAAAGTCAAAGGTGAATAGAACATAAAATCAATAATGTGCAGAGGCATGCTTGTGATGTGAAATTTGTCTCTCTCTCTATACAGAAAATTTGCATTTACAATATGATTTAGTAATAAATGCTGATGAATGCTTGGTTGTATAAAGTGCTGCATTATCCATGAAATATTTTTCAGCAGGTTAGTTTGGCCTTAATCATTCACGGCAACTTCTCAGTATTGTGTAAAGGATATTAACATTTCTATGCTACACAATTACAGTGGATCAGCTCTGGTTCTTTGAGTGTCATAATAAAAATAAGTAAGAAACTTAGAAATAAAAATTACCCCTGCAAAATAAACATTATTAAAAATATAACTCACACATTCAGCTAAATCCTTCCATCCTCCTATGGCAGAAAAATTTCTTGTGGGTTCGCCATACATACGTCCAGCAATCTTACGCTCCACAAACATAGTGAAGCCCTCATTCAGCCAGAAATGTTCCCAATGGCTGTTAGTGACCAAATTACCAGTCCAGGAGTGGCTAATCTCGTGAGCAACTACATCTGCCAATGAGCGATCGCCTGCCTGTGGGGGGGGACGACAGCAAATAAAAATAAGAATACGGTACGGTAAATTATCTTCCGGACTTACACATTCAGATAAGTCCTTCCATCCTCCAAGAGCAGATAAATGTCTTGCTCTTGGCCCACGTAGCCGTCCAATTATTTTTCTCTCAATGAACTTAGTAAAGCCTTCATTGAGCCAAAAGTCCTGCCAGCTGGAATTTGTCACTAAATTGCCTGTCCAGCTGTGAGTAATTTCATGAGCAATGACATCCACCAACGAGCGATCACCTGCCTTACGGTGCAAACAGAAAAGTGATGATAAATGTTCAGCATTGTCATTATCATAGGAATCGGCAGCTTAACTCTCAATGTTTGTAAACAAATAATTGCACATTATATAATAAAGTCAAATAAAGGCAAATTTGTAATAGAAGAGCTAACAGTATCAAACACAAAACAGCCCATCATGTACATATTTCCAGTACCGTATCCTATCATTAAATTGTGTCACTGAACACAACTTAAATTAGAAATCTACGTCATTATAATTCTTTCAACCACTTCAATAATGAACAAGACGTAAGTATTCAAATGTTTAACAGTTATATGTCACAGTGATGACATACAACTGAAGATACTATACTTTATGTCCAGTAAATATACTGTATTCAAAACTCTTATTTAGTTGATAAATAAGCACATTATATATTTTTTATTATTGAACTAAATACACAGTAAAATAGATTTATTTCCTATTAAAGAGCCACTCGTGCATGAAAATACATTACCAGTTGACCAGACCACACACTAGAAGATGAAGGTGACGACGACGTTTTGGTCCGTCCTGGACCATTCTCGACTTGAGAATGGTCCAGGACGGACCAAAACGTCGTCGTCCCTTCACCTTCTATTGTGTGGTCTGTACAACATACTTCAGCCACGTTATTGTGACTCATCATCTGTACATTACCAGTATTGTAGGAGTAATGAACGTGAGACACGGGTTCTCCATTCCACCATATGGGAAACTTGGAGGAAGAACCAACAGGTCATATTGTTCCCAGACATAGTCCCCACACAGTGATTCAGCCGTCTTCAGCATTTTCTCGGTCTGAAATTACAAATAAGAATTAGACCAGAGAATAAATCACAATAACCTGACTGTAAATAATTAAATTTTTTTTAGTAACGTGACTGTAAATAAGTCAAATTTTTTTTCATTTGTATTGTTACTTTTTTAACATTTTCGGGTTCTGATGATGCTAAAATTCATCTTCCGTACTCCAATAGTAAATGTTCCGATTGCTATTGATAAATATTTATATATTCATTGCTGTCATGCACTATCTATTGAGTATGACTGATAATTTAGATGGATAATTTATTTGCAAACATTTTGATACCAAATTTATAGTTGTAACCCAACAAATAACTGAGAAAATCTAAAATATTTGTAAATGGTTTAACACTTTCAATTTGTCTAAAAATCCAAGTTTCTGTTTGTCTAGAATTGAAATGATTTGTATAAGTTACTATAAATAAATCCCTCTAGTTCTAATTCTAAATTCTCCCACTGCATCCTGCTCAAATTCTAAGAAATACAGATTACAAATAAATGGGTTGCTCATGTCTTCATTTTTATACCACTTATTAAAATGAGGGATATAAAAATGGAATGCAAACTGACTGAATTATCCAAAACTGTAACCTCCAGAGCTAAATATGTTTTGTGGAGGCATACCACACCAAATCATATATTACATAAATTTCTTGATACTCCAAATAAATTACATACTTCTCTCAAAATTTTGACGCAACAAATTATAACATCCAGGTGGTAACATTGTCATCCACACTTCCGTGGAAATGAACACTTCATTCACCTCAGCTCTAGGAGACCCTAACTGCGGACCACTGTAATAATTGGTATACATATACAGGTAGTATTACACTAGCGTAACATTTTCTAGTACCTGTATGTTTACCTGTATGTTTAATGACTAATAGTTTCTACAGCCATAACTGCTAATATAAAAAAAAAATTGCCAATGATATAGCAGGCCAGGAAGAGCCCTTTTTCTTACAGGTGCTACAGTTCTGATATTCTTACCTCGGAAAACTCGTATTCTGCTTTCTCGACAAATTCCTTCTCAGACCACACCTTTGAGCGTGGGCCAATCTTCCTGCTATCTAGTGCCCCCACTGCTAACGCTATCAAGTATGAAGGCATCGGCACTGGTTGTTGAAATCTTAAAAAGATACGGGAATAATTTTAATGACATTGGATTCCCAATGTGCATAATAGCGAGGATGAATTCTTTAGTGAGAACGCTAAAGAATTCATTAACTAATTCTTCATAGTAGTATGCTTGAAGAGAACATAATGCATGAAAAATAATATAGAGAAATACTAGAAAGAGAAAATTTTTAACATAAGTTGTCATTTTTTACTGTAACATGAAAGTCATTTTCAATAGTTTACTTTTCCTTTGGTGTTCCTCCACACCAGTAGTTCCCAACCACTGATACAGAGGACCCTTGGGGTCATGTGAGTATTACAAAATAGCGCTGTTCTCAAAAGTGAGGGCTGGATGCTTCTTCCTGAGGCACTGACTATTATTAACAAGGTGCAAATCCTTAACTGTACACCTCTGTTCACCCAGCTTTGAATGGGTATCTGGTTGTTAAACGATTTGGTGGGTTGTATTATGGGGAAAATTAAGATTAAGGACCTGCCACAATCTATAGGGCTGTGAATAGCAGCTGCGGCATGACGTATGAACAAGCATGCAAACCCCAGTGCACCCCAAGCAACCGAAATGACCTCGCCCATCCACAGGCCTGACCAGAGAGGTCAAAGGCTCTTGAACTACCCAAAGTAAGACACTCCACCCTGGTGGCCTGGCTTTGAAAAGGCAAACACCTGTACACACCAGAGAAGTAACCGACAATGCAGGGAAAGTGCTAGCGAGCATCCAAGGAAGAAGACCCTGAACCTATGAAAGAAGCAGGGTTTTTTGTTCAGAACTTTGGCTAAATCTATAAAATATCTACCATTATAGTATTTTTATACTGTATAATGCTGGCATCACAACATTTTACCCCAATACACACAATTGATTGACTAACCTGAAAACCTTGTGTTTTCCTTTCTCCTGGTGCCCATCTCTCAGTGCACTCATAAGCACCACCAGCTGAGACGGGGCTCTCACCTCTGCCGTGTAAGGCATCTTTACAGCTGGCGTATCCTGCAGATGAAATGCATGAACAGGTAATAGAGACTCAAATACTATGTACCAATAAAAACATTCTTACCTTGACCTTGAAGTGTTTCCAGGGCTTAGCGTCCCCGTGGCCCAATCGTCAACCAGGCCTCCTCGTTGCTGGATTGGTCAACCAAGATGTTTGACGCTCTTAACCAGGCTCTTGACGCACTTGGCCAGGCTCTTAACCAAAGTTATTACAGAACTCGAGGCAATGGATATAAATTTGAGAAGTTTAGATTCAGGACAAACCGGGATAAATACTGGTTTGGATATAGGGTTAGTGATTTTTAAAATAAATTAGAGTCCATCATAAGCCTTCATCTATATACACATGGCACTTACTTAAAGAAGTGTCATGTGTATTTCGATGAAGGTGGTTACAGGAATGCATATACTGTATACCAATTCTTTACCTGCATAAAGTTAACTTCATTTTGCATTAGTTTTTCATGGAACTCATCCCATGCACAAATAATGAGCCAAGCATACTGCACAAATACAAACTACTTTATCAGTGCATACCACCTGACCACACTATATGCATGAGGTTGAAATTTTGTGAATTATTGTGCACCAGCAATGTATTCATAAGATGAATTCACCCTTTTACAAAGCACTCTGACACTTAATGCAGCATTTGTGAACTGGGATTGCACGCAATCCCGAGGAAACTAAGAGTTCCAAAAGATATACTGATAAATATTCTAATAAATAGGCCATATGCAAAAATATTTCTAAATGCACCAATTTTTTGTGTTTAATTTTCTTATTTAACCAGTACATATCAAGAGTAAAGAAAGAAATTGTCTCCTTTCAGTTGAAAATGAAATCCATGTGTGTTTATCTATCTTGAGATCTTGAGATGAGATGGTTATCTTGAGATGATTTTGGGGCTTTAGTGTCCCCGCGGCCCGGTCTTCGACCAGGCCTCCATCCCCAGGAAGCAGCCCATGACAGCTGACTAACACCCAGGTACCTATTTTACTGCTAGGTAACAGGGGCATAGGGTGAAAGAAACTTTGCCCTTGTTTCTCGCCAGTGCCTGGGATCGATCCCAGGACCACAGGACCACAAGTCCAGTGTGCTGTCCGCTCGGCCGACCGGCTCCCAAGTACTAAAGTACAACCCAGAATTATTTGAAAAGTATAAAGGTTGAGAAATGCTGCTTTAATACCTAAGTATGTTATGACATCTTTTGTTCCAAGTGAAGGTCATAACCATAACTTAGCCTAATGTTTATTTTAATAAGGTAAAATTAAACAATGCACATATAAGCCAAGAAATCTACAACCATGTACAAAACATGTTTACATTTGATGGGACCAGTCTTATCAGTACAGTATATATATATAGTGGAATTAATAAGCAGTGAAATGGTTAACTTCAGTATTTTTTTTAAGTTAAATTTGAGTTCCATAAATCGTTGATGTTATCACCTGGCATGGGACTAAGGAGCGGCAGTGAATGGCTTGACATTGGGAGAACATGTATGGATGCTTCTTCCCAGCTGTCTGCTCCGGGGACAACCACTGCAAGGCTGAGCAGTTTGGAGAGGTTTCATATTCTATTTCAACCTTGAACCTGCAACACATTCAAAATCCAGCTATTAGCATGTAAAATAATTTTATGTCCATAACAAATATTGAGAAAAATAACAGAAAAAGATAGCATTGAATGTAATGAAACGCCAATTAATGAGTGAGCCACAGAGGCCCCCATACACTCTGCATTCCGATTGTTAGAAAGTTGAAGATCCATCTCCCTACTTTGCCAGTAATTCCTTTTATATGCATTTTGTGTGCAATAATACCATGATCACATTTGTCGAGAGCTTTTGGAAAATCGGGCTGCATAATCAGCCCGTTCTCTCATTATCAAGTGATATGTGTCTTATCATAACATATCAGTAGAATACGTGGCACTTTGCATTTTATCTCTCCAACTTCTTTAAAAAAATATGTGATAAAATGCACTTGCACTTCCATTTCATATAAACAATCATTCACCTCTTTCCTTACAAATCCATGTTTTCTTTCAGTCTCTTATGACTTCCCTCTCTCCAGTTTACTTCCTTCCCATGCCTTTCACTATCTATTTTTTCTAATCCATATTTATCATAAATCCTTTCCAAGAAATTATTCCTTTGTAACGTAAGTCTATCCAGACTTGAGAACCAAATATTGTGTCTGGATAAGTATTTCAGCACCCTGAAAACTTTTAAATTCACAAAGTTTTTTCATGAGCAACCAGCCTCCCACTGGCTTTTTCATCTCCTCATGATTCTGTTTGTACTACTCTCACACCAGAACAGTACTATACCTGGTATAACAATAATAATGCAGAATATATATAGCCAATGCTCACTTAACATGTTCTCATATCAAAATGTGTAAGACACTTACTGTTTCTTTGCATCTGAAGATAGAACAATTTTGAGCTCTGATCCAAAATTAGGATCGGCTTTTCCGAGAGTGTACTGCAGTAGCTGACCAGTCTCCTCATCCTTCACAGTTTTAATTGCCAAGTCCCGAGAATCAAGAATCTAAAACAACACACATTATGTAAAACATTTAACAAAATGATTCATGAATGAAATAATAATATTTTCATGTTGTGATATAAATTAATATGCAATGATAAAACATTTAAGTTTATAACAGGTAAGTGAAATTAAGGACTTGCAATTGTATCATATTGAAATACAGTATACAAAAGACATATAAAAAACATACCAAATGGACAGCATCCTCCTGTTTGCGGTCAACAGTGAGTGTAGTTGTTCCAGAGACAATTTTGCGTGAGAAATCCACATCCCAATCCAAGTGAATTGAAGACACAACAACCTGGTCTGATAGGGCAAGAAAGGATTTTCTAACATTAAGGTCAATTATACATAAATGGGTCATTTTGGAGCCCAATGCTTCACCCACTTCTATGATGCTTAACTGTAGGAGTTTTTTTTGTGTTTTTGAAAGAAAGCAAATTGGTGACAGGGCAGCTGCCCACACTCCATCAAACCTTACTAAGCTATGCCTAGACTCTCCTAATAAAGTATATTTGATCCAAAATATTTAAACAGAAGATGCTTGTTCAGTACATCACCTTGTAAACCGATCAAGATTTTATGTTTTTTCTCTTTGTTAGGGTCAGGAAGATTTTCAGGATTAATGCAATATCCCTAGACAATTACTGGTCATTTCTCAGGATGAAATGAAATAAATGAACTTAATGCCTCAGTTCTTATCTACTGCTAGGTGATGAGGAGCATCAGGTGGATAGAAACATGCCCAAATGTCTCGAGCTGCCAAGGAATCAAACATAAAATCAGATAATTGTGCTGACTATGCTACCTACTGCACTACAGGTCACTAATACATTTTAAAACCCTTTGTCTGTCTGTGGCTTTGCAAGAATAATTTTCTAATACTGTAATAATTCCTATTATTGGGAAAAGGATGCATAATTCACACACACCCCATATTTACTTTTCAAGGCTCATTGTACCTTCATGTAAACATCCAAATAAATACATAAATAGTGGATATATAATGGATAATTCAAAATATTAATTCACCCTACCAGGTCTTGAATACGAGTTTGGGTCTCCAGGGCTTAGCCGAGATTTCTTCTCAGGCTTTAGAGGCGACATTCTTGAGGTTATAAGCACGTGTGACACTTTTCTCCTGCTCTGAGACACGTGTAAGTTGCATACAGATTTTCCTTTTGTTGATACCTTCAGGTGACTATCAGCAGCTGGGTGCCACAGTCAGTCCACACCGGCGTCTGTTGTAGAGGTAAACACGTCGCTTGTACTCCAACCCCGCCGAAGTCTCCCTTTAACATACACCTCTGTTTTAGTCGCCGCTCCTCTATCTAAACCACAATGCAACAAACATTTTTGAAACTCTTATTATCCTCAATATAAATGCATTTTCCAACATCTGTACTGGTGCAGTTATCGGGAGGACAAACGCTTCATGCAAACTGCACCTACTATCAGGAAGAACCCCGCTCTTCACCCAGCGGGGTTCTGGTAATGCAAGTGATTGATGAAAAACGTAATCTGATTGTGCACTACACTGGTGCCCTTGGGGGATGGAAATGTTGTAGAAATACTCTGAAGTTTCAATTCCTTTTGAAGGGTCTGGGTGGTGTAACGATTAGCGTATCAGTTATGCCGGGTGCGCGAACATCTGTGCTTTCTGAGTTCTATTTTTTCCTGAGTTCGAGTCACTTGCAGAAGGGTGTATGTCTAAGTTGTGTTTTTATATTGTTACGGTAATGTCACTAAGAGCAGTGGCCTAGGGCAGATAGAATGCCACGAACTCATAAAAAAAGTGAAAACAAATTAAAATAAAACTGCAATGTTGACTTCTTCACGATAAGGGAAATGCAGGATAAAAATGAAAAATTTAAATACTTTAATATAAAAAAGTTAACAAACAGACCACAAACTGAAAATAGTTCCTTAAAAACTTGACTTACAGGGTGCAAAATAATCAAAACAAAACAGACAATTTAACGTTATGTTAGAGAACATGATATAAATGGTGCTGAAAATACTGTATGCCAGGCTGCGTAGATCTACCACCACACAAGGTAGTGTGAGGGTAGGTTCAGCAGGTAGAGCACGAGAGAGTATTCTACTGGTGGTGGTGATGATTGATGAAGATTAAGCCACCCAAAAGGTGGCACAGGCATGAATAGCCCGTAAGTGGTGGCCCTTTGAGCTATTACCAGTATCAATAGCTGATACTGGAGATCTGTGGAGATGCAACTGCACCCTGCGTGACGGGAGATGTCTCCCGTGCTGGTGGTGGTTGGCCGGCTTCTATTTATATGGGACTTGACCAATGTAGGTGGGGTTTGTGGGGAACACAAACGAACACGTTTGTGTTCCTCACGTGTGCCCCAAAGAATGAGGTGATTTGATAAAATACTATGCCCAAGATTACTATTAGAGTGCCGGCGGGCTGATGGGCAAATAGCCTCGGCTACCATCAGCTTTTTTCCGGTCGTGATGGTTGAGTGGATAAGGTGCCCTGTACACCAGTTGCATAGTGCTCCTGGCAGTATGGGTTTGAGTCACTTCTGGGGGTGTGAGTTTTCAGTTATATATATATATATTAATTAAGAATTTAATGAATCATTAATATATGTACTTTACAACGAACACGCATGCGCACGCACACGCAACACACACACACCCCGTTGTTGCACTCGGTAATGAACCATGAGGCAGTTTACTAGCGGCCTCAACAACCACTGGCTGACCACACCACCACTGGTACCCCTCGTCCATCTCTGCTCTATGGCCCCTCAACACCAGGTACTTGCAAACACTTAGGCAATGTGTCTTGTATACTCTGTTGTCTCATTTGAAATGTTTCTTAGTTTGTATCTCACACACTTGCAAGAATATGTGAAAGCAGTATTCTTAAATCTATTTATGGTATCATCGTTGGAACTTACAGAACTACAACTAAATAATGCAAACTTTCCCTGTTTTTCAAGAGTTTCTTAAGAGTTGATAATATGGTATACTGTATTCAATAATGATTATATTATAACAATGAAACTATTATAAACAATATCACCATATTAAAATATTTAAAATAACAATAATATTCTTAAATTAACTATTCTGTAATATTAATAATACTAATAATAATATTAATAAATTATTATTATTATTATTGCAGAATAGTTAATTTAAGAATATTTACTTTGTAGTTAGGACGGTTGAACTGCATCTTTGTAGTAGCAATGTAGTAACTTCTACAAAAGTTACTACAAACTACTATTATTGCTAGTTACCAGCAGTAATGAGGATATTTTATAGAGCTATTGAATACTGTTGTGGTGTAAGGCATTCTCAACCACTCACACAAGCTGTGTGAGTGAGTGAGTGGCTGAGTGAGTGAGTGCTGCTCCCTCTTGGTCAAATGCGTTATATAATTTTGAGTATTTCGGGTGATGAGAGCGTGGCGACTCGACTGTTGTGGGTTGCATCTCCGTGGAAGGTCAATAATTGGCCAAAAGATACTTTGTAAAGTCTAAATACAGACTTCCTTTTCCAAGATAACTGGAAATAAAATGGATGTGGAAGCTGCTGGTAGTTTGTTTCTCTTGTTTGGTAGTTTGATCTTGATGGAAAGTGTTGTAGTGAAACTACGGTAAATATATCAACCACATCTCTTTAGTGTACTCACACTGCTTGCAGGAATGAGCTTTAGCTCTTGGACCTCACTTTTCCAGCCGCCAGCACGTGTGGTGAGTATGAAACCCGGTTGTTGCTCCACCAAGCCTTCCTCCTAAGGTTTCCCAACATCTAGAGAGCAGTCAATTTAAAGTGGTCTCTCCTAACTTACTAGAAGCCCCCAAAACAGAAAATGGGACAGTACGTCACTTTCTCCAGTCGCTTCCATTTTCTTGTACAACAATTTTTTGGGCTTTATGTACCGCATACTAGGTTGACTCCACAGCACCGCTTACAGTCAATATTGGGAAGCTGCATATATTACACATATGTTCCAAGCCTCCGCCACAGTCCCCCTTGTGGTGCAGTTGGGCCATCTTCCCCACAGGCCTTGAGGACGCTCACCACGGGACGAGAAAGGTCTCCCCTCTCATATACATATATACCCCGCTTCCACACCTCAGCTCGTCACACACAGCCTCTCAACGCTCCCCAACATGATGCTTCTCAAGGTTCGAACTGCGATAAACACCTACGCGAACTGTACACGTAATCCAGTAGTATATTCTTACGACGCGTTTGTTGTCGCTGCCGCACTGCTTGCTGGGTAATGAGGGTTGTATTACCGGGGAAAAGGTGGATAATAACTCTTGTTGTTGTATTTGCAGGCGGTTCTGGCCTCTGTTCTCCTGGTGGTGGCCGTGTCCCTCCCAGCTGACCTGTCGGGCTCCTCCGGTCCCCAGGTGAGTAACATTCAGTCAAAAAGTCCCATACGCTGCCAGCCACAGTAGGTTAGTGCATGACTGTCACAGCAGACTGATGTACTGAAGTCCCTTCATGCAGGCAGGAAGTGCTCTCTCAGTGACAGGAAGTGCCACTTCTCAGTAACAAGAAGTCTACCTTATAGTAGCAAGATATGTTTACCAAACCACACGCCAGAAGATCAGGTTCGGTCATCATATCATCAGCCACGTTATTGTGACTCATTGCATAGGAAGATATTCTTCTTCAGTATGGTATTATAGAAGGAAATTCACAGCAGTTTAAACTAAATTTCCTTGTTTTGTATGAAGTGCAGTACTGAGCACAAACGAGGCCTTGAACATTTTCACTTAATGGCTTCTCCCAGAACACTAACTAGTTTCTCTTGGGCTAAATTTGTAACAACAGATGTTCTCTTTCTATTCATACATTGCTGTCTTCTGATTCCATATGTGAATTCTAAATACGTGTTGTTTAAGCAATTATTTAGTTTGAGTGTTATGAGACAGCACTGAGCGATTAACAGGGGTCTCTACCCCACTCGTCAGACTCCCGCCAGCTACGAGTTCCGGTACGGGATCAAGGACGACCTCTCTGACAACGACTACGGTCACCTGGAGAACCGTGAGGGGGACTTCACCCAGGGGTCGTACCACGTCCAACTCCCCGACGGCCGCCTCCAGAAGGTGACGTACTCCGTCAAGGGGGACTCTGGATTCGTTGTTCAAGTCACCTATGAAGGCGAGGCAGGGCCCCCTGCAGCTGTCTGAACCCACCAGTCAACACTACGGTACTACCATGCCTAAAGTGTACTTTAGGCATAGTATGTATAAGCTCTATCTAGAAATCCAACATTATGTTTGTTACTCATTTTGAATGTATGTATTTTTTACCTGAATAAACATTATCTTATCTTAATATCACCGACTCAAAGTTCAAATTATCGTAAATGTTTTGTATGAGATCTTTGTTGTTAATAAAGTTTCGTAAAAGAACAGTTATGTGAATATTTCCAGAAAGAATGCGCTTGCAGTGAAAACACAGTTTTTAAGGCCCTTTAAAATACAGTTTTTAAGGAGCTGTATCCACCTCAACTTCACTACGGGATAAAGAACTTAAAATACAGTTTGTTTCTGAACTTGTTTCAGGTAATGAAGGCTTTATAGCTGCCAGTCACTTTTCCTTCATGAACGAGTAACTGTATTTTTGTTGTTAACAATTATTATTAAAATAACTTTGTTATTTCTGCAGATAATTGAACAGTTAAGAGTTTAGTTTTCGAACACTGCCAACAAATAATTTAAGTTCCTGTTTATGATGAAGTGTGGAAATTCTTCTCAAATACCATGTAGTATGGTTGATATACACAAACAATTGCTTGCTTTAAATATGAATATATTTTAATCAATCAATTTAATCAATAATTGCATATAATTTAATAAAGAAGTCATAAGTTCGGTAGAAGAGTTCAAGCATATATTGGTGCTGGGGTGCCATATGAAGGCTGGGGTGTTGGGGCTCTGTAGATAGGCTGGGGTGTAGGGGCACCGTAGATAGGCTGGGGTGTAGGGGCACCGTAGATAGGCTGGGGTGTAGGTGCACCGTAGATAGGCTGGGGTGTAGGTGCACCGTAGATAGGCTGGGGTGAAGGGGCCCCATACGAAGGCTGTTGTGCTGGGTACTGGGCCTGGCCCTCGTAGGCCACCTGGGCCACGTAGCCGGAGTCACCGTTGACAGTGTAGGTCACTGTCTGCAGGCGACCGTCGGGAAGCAGGACACTGTAGGAACCCTGGGTGTCGTAGCCGTCCCGGGACTCCTGGTGGCCGAAGTCATTCCTGGAGTAGTCGTCCTTCAAGGCCCAGCTGAAGTCATACTTGGGAGGAGCCTGAAAAAGTAATTAGGTTTTCGACAATCGACTTGAGAATGGTCCAGGACGGACCGAAACGTCGTCGTCCCTTCACCTTCTAGTGTGTGGTCTGGTCAACATAGGTTTTCCTATAATGTGTATAATTTGTTTTCACATGTAAACAAAAACACATCTTCAAAGACTGAAAATGTGTCACAATAACGTGACTGAAGGTACAATGACTAAACCACAAGCAGAAAATGAAGAAGAGACTACGTTTCGGTCCGTTCTGGAACAAGTCGTGATAATGGTCTTACACGGCCCGAAACGTTGTTGTTTCTACATTTTCTAATGTATGGGTTGGCATCGTGTTGAAAGGCTGTTTTATATAATCTGTTAGAGGCAGCGGTACCCGGCTGCTCCCGGGTCTTTCCCCCATCCCCCTCTCTCTCTCAGAAAAAAATTTATAAGGAAGCACCAAAACTGCCAAATAATTCTAGGGAAAACACAACCAATATTTCAGACTAGACAGCATGACAAATTGCACGGGGGTGGGGGTTCATTGCCGTTTTTCTTAAAGTGTGCCATTGGAGACTTCCCTGACTAGTGTAGTGCGAGGGTGTGACACTCTCCCCCCCCCCACCATACCTGCTTCGCGTGTGATAGTTCGGTGAAACCAATCGGAAGAGTCTACCCTCTAATCTTGAGTAGACAATCATCTCTAATAGATATAGAATAGATCACAGGAATTGTACTCTGGTGCGATTATTGCAGAAGAAACATCCATAGTACTGACCACTGGGGCAGGAGTTCCGTAGGTGGGTACTGGGGCGTTGTAGGTGGGTGCTGGGGCGTTGTAGGTGGGTGCTGGGGCGTTGTAGGTGGGTGCAGGGGCGTTGTAGGTGGGTGCTGGGGATGGGAGACTGTATGCAGAAGAGGGAAGTTGGTCGTTGAAGAAGGGTCGTTTGTCGGGTCGAGCGAGTGTGACGACCACAAGGGCAGCCAACACAGTAACCTGTGAACAAACATCTTTTAAATACTGAACTCATGAAGAACATTCACTATGTCACCAACTTTAAGCTCAGCCATGTTCGTGAAAGCAGAATGTTTCAAATAATGTGACTACAGGAAGACGCACCTTGAGAGCCATATTGTTGTAGCGATGACTGGAAGCAAGTGAGGAGTGGCGCTGGGCACTCGTCTTATATAGTGGCGGAGTGACCCTCTGGGCACCGCCCACTGCTTGACGTCACGAGGTCACAGCAGGAGGAACAGTTGGAGCTCATGAAAGTAAACCTCTGGCGGGTTTACCTTCATGAATGAGCTTTATTAAAGAGTTTTGTCACAGTTTGAAAGGAGGAAATGTTCAGGATTAAGACCTAATAGCTCAGTGGGCACCACGTTCCAGCAATATAAAATTTATCGAGGCTCTTGTACTCTGCATTCTGTGGTCTTGAAGCTGTGGATGGAGGCTGCTTCTACTACATATGCTTTCTGAGCATATTTGTTGACCCTCCCTCGCTCCTTAGTACTTATTTCACTTTATCTTATTCCAGTTTCCGACTTTCATTTATGTCTTCTAATTAAATTTCCCTTTCAATTTGAGATGAAAATCTTATCCACCTTATCTATTTCACTCAGTATTTTGTATGTTGTCATCATATCCCCTTTAAACTTTGACTGGTTTTATCAGAAACATATTAATTATTTTATATAATATACAAATATTGTACCTACTAATTAACCATTGTCATATGTTCTTATACCTTATTAATAAAATTATGATTGTTCTTATTATTATTTGTGTTACTATTGCTATTATTATTATTGAGAAAATCAGTAGGAGCATGAAGAGGATTCGAACCTGCACACTGGGTGTTCCAAAGTGTGCAGGTTCGACTTATCATGGGCTTCACAGATTTTTTCATTCATACATCACGTTAATGAGATTTCGTTGTGCATTATTATTATTATTATTATTATTATTATTATTATTATTATTACACAGAGAAATCACATTAACGTGATATGTCAAAGGACAAATCCACAGGAGCCTCGGTGAGGGTCTATATTGTTGCTACACCAATATAGCAAGTTGTAACAACGTTTTAATACGTCATAAACACGTTAAGCCAAGATGTAGCAACTTTATTACAAGTTGTAACAAGCGGAAAATAAAGACAGTTACGGTTTGTGTTTCCAGGGATTGTACTTCACCCCCGCGCGGCGTGAAGGCACTCAACAGGTCCACACACTGCCTGTGATGACTACACGAGTGTACGAGAGTGAAAGTCTGAATATAACCCCCTAACAAAGCATAGTATTCTATGTAAACCTTAGTCGTTCTATGTTCAGTTGTGTGTCTCCCTCGAGGTAAACTCTCGGAGATGATACAGGTGTACTCGCCCAGCGAAAAGACCTGTAATAGGTGAGAGTTAAACGTACGTGGATGACTTTGTGGGCGTTTGACTGGAGGAACATAATGCGCCTGACGCAGTCTTGTAGCGACGGCCGCGCAAGAATCACAAACTTCACGTATAGCCAGAATGCTATTTTTTTTTTTTTTTTTTTTTTTTTTTTTTTTTTTTTTTTGAGATATATACAAGAGTTGTTACATTCTTGTACAGCCACTAGTACGCGTAGCGTTTCGGGCAAGTCCTTAATCCTACGGTCCCTGGAATACGATCCCCTGCCGCGAAGAATCGTTTTTTCATCCAAGTACACATTTTACTGTTGCGTTAAACAGAGGCTACAGTTAAGGAATTGCGCCCAGTAAATCCTCCCCGGCCAGGATACGAACCCATGACATAGCGCTCGCGGAACGCCAGGCGAGTGTCTTACCACTACACCACGGAGACTGTTAAATTTCAAAATGATTTCAAAATGCTATGGTTGCCGAATCAACCTACCCTGGCTTTGCGCCCAGGTGAGGCCACTCCAGACCAGGCCGACGCCAGGGCGCAACTCCATAGTCTCCTGAGACTGATGGATACCTACTACTACTATTTCATACATGTAAATGTCGAATTGCCATTGCTGTGTATTTTTTATTTCAAGTGCCACATGTAAAACCCGAGCTTTTGATTAGAGGTAAACTTGTGTCCTTGGTAATTACTGCATTAACTAAGAGCAGTAATTTCCAGTAATTGTATTAGTGTTAAGTTTACTTAACTGAGTACCTGAGCGGTTATTACAAATATACTACAGTGGTAAGTGAGGCTGTTCCTTCAGGAGCAGCCTCGTTCGTTCAGCCAAAAGTTCAGCTGGAATAACACACATGTTCTCAGGAACCTGTACACCTGTTGATTGACGGTTGAGAGACGGGACCAAAGAGCCAGAGCTCAACCCCCGCAAGCACAATTGGGTGAGTACACGTCCTCTCTCCTGAATACATTTGTATGACCCCAATTCAAAGCAAAGAAACTCCCTTTGTATTAGAGCTAAATTAATAAACTTGTTAACCATTCGACAGGTAATCAAGATCACTAGCTTTGGAACACGTAGGAGGATCTTCTGAGAGGCCCTACCTTCGACGAGTTGACCGGAGTGAGGCGCCGCTGCTCTAGCACTATGCTGTTCTAGGATAACGTCTGCCAGTGGTCAGCTCTAAACGACACTGCAGGCGGAGGTTGGGAAACAATAGCAGAATCTTACGAGCCAGTTTCAGCCCCGCTCCTGTGCCAGGTAAATCCACTACGGACTCACCATAGCCCGTGCTACTTGCCCCGCTCCTGTGCCAGGTAAGTTCACTGCGGACTCACCATAGCCCGTGCTACTTGCCCCGCTCCTGTGCCAGGTAAGTCCACTACGGGCTCACCATAGCCCGTGCTACTTGCCCCGCTCCTGTGCCAGGTAAGTCCACTACGGGCTCACCATAGCCCGTGCTACTTGCCCCGCTCCTGTGCCAGGTAAGTCCACTACGGGCTCACCATAGCCCGTGCTACTTGCCCCGCTCCTGTGCCAGGTAAGTCCACTACGGGCTCACCATAGCCCGTGCTACTTGCAACTTTTTGTTCCGAGTAGCTGAATCTTAAACAACAAGAACAACCTACAACTCCAGTTGACTAGACCACACACTAGAAGGTGAAGGGACGACGACGTTTCGGTCCGTCCTGGACCATTCTCAAGTCGATTGTGACACAATTTTCACAAATTGTGACCATTCTCACAATTGACTTGAGAATGGTCCAGGACGGACCGAAACGTCGCCGTCCCTTCACCTTCTAGTGTGTGGTCTGGTCAACTTACTTTAGCCACGTTATTGTGACTCCTCGCCTGCATACAACTCCAGTATAATAGTTGATGTAACAAGAAAAATAGTGGGCCCAGTACAGAGCCCTGTATCCCCCACTAGTTACAACCTTCTTCATAAACAAATGGAACATACAGAGATTCCCTCATGCACCATTGTAAACATATTCTGTTGACAATTTCAAGAGTTTTTACATCCTCAGCCTTGTCTCTGGTCAGCCTTCCCTGGAGACTGCCTAGTCGTTGCAGTTCTTTGTTTTCGTAGCTAAAATGTTGACCATTACCCAAGGTCACTGGCCTCAACCTTCATACACTCAACAATCACTAGCAGCGTCAGTGTAATAGCTCTACTTCAAACCTAAATATTGAGGTGCTGAATGCTAGTTAGATTACCAATGATACTAAGTTTTTTATGAGATAATGAAGGTTGTAGCTACCAGTCATTTCACCTTTAAGATCGAGTTGCTGTATTTTTAATTTTTAATTGTAAAATTGTTAATAAAATATTTTTGCTGTTGCAGATAATTGAACTGTTGGGCGTTTTGTTTTTGAACACCGTTAACAACTATTTCAACTTCCTCTTTATGGAAAAAGTGTGAATGTGGAAGTTTGTCTTTAATACCATGTAGTATGATGGATATACACAAACAAATGCTTGCTCTTAAAAATTTATATATTTTATTCAATAAATTTCAATGCATATAATTTAATCAAGAACTAGAGTAAAGAAGTTCGGTAGAAGAGTTTAAGCATATAGTGGGGCTGGGGTGCCATAAGAAGGCTGGGGTGTAGGTGCACCATAGATAGGCTGGGGTGTAGGTGCACCATAGATAGGTCGGGGAGTAGGGGCACCGTAGATAGGCTGGGGTGAAGGGGCCCCATACGAAGGCTGTTGTGCTGGGTACTGGGCCTGGCCCTCGTAGGCCACCTGGGCCACGTAGCCGGAGTCACCGTTGACAGTGTAGGTCACTGTCTGCAGACGACCGTCGGGAAGCAGGACACTGTAGGAACCCTGGGTGTCGTAGCCGTCCCGGGACTCCTGGTGGCCGAAGTCATTCCTGGAGTAGTCGTCCTTCAAGGCCCAGCTGAAGTCATACTTGGGAGGAGCCTGAAAAAAGTTCATAATAGTAATTAGTTTTTGTAAAAATGTATGTACCTTTTCTCATGAGTAAAGAAAAGCAAATATTCATATATATACTTTTCGATTACTGGGATTCGACTCCGGTGTTAGAATTGCAAGAAACCATAAATAATACTGACTACTGGAGCAGGAGTGCCGTAGGTGGGTGTTGGGGCCGGAGCTCTGTATGTAGGCACTGGTGCTGGGGCGTTGTAGGTGGGTACTGGGGCGTTGTAGGTGGGTGCTGGGGCGTTGTAGGTGGGTGCTGGAACGTTGTAGGTGGGTACTGGGGCGTTGTAGGTGGGTTCTGGGGCGTTGTAGGTGGGTGCTGGGGATGGGAGACTGTATGCAGAAGAGGGAAGTTGGTCGTTGAAGAAGGGTCGTTTGTCGGGTCGAGCGAGTGTGACAACCACAAGGGCAGCCAACACAGTAACCTGTGAACAAACATCTTTTAAATACTGAACTCATGAAGAACATTCACTATGTCACCAACTTTAAGCTCAGCCATGTTCGTGAAAGCAGAATGTTTCAAATAATGTGACTACAGGAAGACGCACCTTGAGAGCCATATTGTTGTAGCGATGACTGGAAGCAAGTGAGGAGTGGCGCTGGGCACTCGTCTTATATAGTGGCGGAGTGACCCTCTGGGCACCGCCCGCTGCTTGACGTCACGAGGTCACAGCAGGAGGAAAAGGAAGGGCTCTTGATGCTTCTTCTGATGGGTTGACCTTCATGAGTGATTCTTAAAGAGTTTCATCATAGGTTGTAACATGTGGAAAAGAGAGTCTCTTATTTCAGCAATTCACTGAATCATTATGAGCAAATATTATCTTAAAAATGTGAACGTTTGGGCAATAAGTTTTGTTATTGGTGTGTCTGAAGGTGGTCACAGATGTGGGAGGGGATCTTGGAGGTTTGATGTGATGCTGAAGATGATCTGCGATATTGGTGACGATCTTGTAATTGGGCTGGAGCTGACTGACATTTTTGGAAGGCTGTGAAATGTTCAGGGTTGTTATATGTGCCATGGACATTGGGCGTGAATGCTGTAGATGGAATATGTGTTTGTAGTGATGTTGTAGCTAGGATGGGGTTTTTACAGGGATGCTGTAGGAGGACATGTTGTGGAATAAGATCTAATAGCTTCAATCAGCACGGCCATTTCAATATTTGCATCTGGCACGTTTAAATTTACCGAGTTTAATTTTCTTTGCCGTATGGGGTCTTGAAGAGGTGTATAGAGGCTGCTTCTCCTTATTCTTCCAAGACAATTTCCTTGGTGACCTTCCTTACTGCTTAGTACAAAGAGTTTCGCTTTTCTTTTTATCTTACATGAGTTTTTCAACTTTCATTTGTGTCCTCTAGTTAATTTCCCTTTCCACTTTTTGGGGGAAGAATGTGTTATCTATCTGGTAATTACTCTCGGTATTTTGTATGTCATCGTCATTTCCTTTCAAGACCTCTTCTGTAGAGTTGCTCGACGGAGTTCACTTAACCAGTCTTAGTGCTGAGACTTCGCAAGGTGTGCAGGACGTATAGGGATTGATACGTGCATGAAACCTTTCAGTATTTTCAGTCTTCTTTTTGAGCTTCAGTAGCGCCGGAAAAGTCTGACACTGGCTGTATAGATTACATAGTAAGTGTTCTTATACTGGCTACTAAACACAAAATTCTTATCCTTTCTCCGTTTCCTACATGTTGAGATTTTATGCAATTTATGAGCGTTTCCTAATAATTCTGGCTGTAAATAGGATGGATCATATGGTAAATAGGATCAACCTACCCTGGCTTTGCGCCCTGGTGAGGCCACTTCAGACCAGGCCTACATCAGAGCGCAACTCCATAGTCTCCTGAGACTGATGGATGCCTACTCCTCCTCCTAATAATAATAATAATTCATTGTGTCGGGAGACAGCCAGTGTATATATATGTGGTAGAGGTTTATATGGAGTTCCTCCCACCCCACAGGGTCGAACTACTGATCCTCCCCAGGATACAATCCCTCATCAATCTAACTCCTGGGTACCTATTTACTATTAGGGGGAACAGTTGCATTAGGTGAAAGGAAGTGCACCCAACATACAGATAGTTGTCTTCCTCATTAGGCATAACTACTTTTAGGGTTTTCTTTTTCTTTTCCCATTTTCATTAACAGATATTTGTAGATACTGAACTTAAGCTATTTGGCTGATCATTGTTACTGCTCGTCCAGATTGATGACCAAACCACAGGTCAGAAGCAACGACGTTTCGACGTCGTTCGACGAAGTCGAACGACGTCGTCGTTCGTTGTTTCGACGTCGTTGTTATCACACGACTTGATAATGGTCCAGAACGACCCAAAACGTCGTCGCTTCTTCATTATCTAAGTTGTGGTTTAATCATCATTTCTTCAGCCACGTTATTGTGACTCATCGTCTAAAGTCAAGATTTCTGGCAGCAGACGACAGTGTTGTTCAGTTTGTACACGTCTTATAGTGGCCGCCATCTTGGCCTAGCTCTTACTGGGGTCTTACGGCGCACAACTATAATTTTGACTCTCCTTAAACACACTCTTGGTTGATATGCAGGCGATGAGTCACAATAACGTGGCTGAAGTATGTTGACCAGACCACACACTAGAAGGTGAAGGGACGACGACGTTTCGGTCCGTCCTGGACCATTCTCAAGTCGATTGTTAAGACCATTCACAATCGACTTGAGAATGGTCCAGGACGAACCGAAACGTCGTCGTCCCTTCACCTTCTAGTGTGTGGTCTGGTCAACTGACTGCGAAAATTTGTTTGTCTTATGCACTAGTCATTTCTGAGGCATTGTATCAAGGACTTCTCGGGTGTATAGAAGATACTGTAGGTGGGCTGAGATGTAACCGATGATGCTCTATGTTGGCGGAGATAATTCATTGTGACGGGGACAGGCAGCCAGGGTGTGTTTATATACGTTAGGCTTTCATCGAGGTACCCCCCTCCGAAGATGCAACCCCATACCAAGTTGATTAGCTTCTGGGTGATTAATTGCTGCTAGGTGAACAGGCGTATTAGATGATAGAAAATGCACCCAACCATTTCTGTCCCGCCTGCGATTCGAACCGGAATTCTCGATTGTGAGGCGAGAACGAAGCCGACTCTACTACTGGGACCTTAATAAAGAAGGGTCCCAGTAGTTCAGTCCAAGCAATTGGTTACAGGATGACTTACAGCTGTACTTCACCCCAGGACAAAGAACTAAAATATAGTTATCAATTCTCTGTGTTTCTGAACTTGTTTGTGGTAAGATGCAGCTGCCAGTCATTAGTGAATAACAGTATTTTGTTGTAGTTAACAATGATTATTCAAATACCTTTATTTGTTGTTGCTGTAGATAACTCATTAGTTTCAGAACATTGTTAACAGATAAATTCAGTTTTTATTGATGATAGAGTGTGGAAATTCCTCTCAAATACCATGTAGTATGATGGATATACACAAACAAATGCTTGCACTTAAATATTTATATATTTTAATCAATAATTTTCAATGCATATAATTTAATTAAGAAGTAATAAGTTCGGTAGAAGAGTTCAAGCATAGAGTGGTGCTGGGGTGCCATATGAAGGCTGGGGTGTTGGGGGTCGGTAGCTAGGCCTGGGTGTAGGGGCACCGTAGATAGGCCGGGGTGTAGGTGCACCATAGATAGGCTGGGGTGTAGGGGCACCGTAGATAGGCTGGGGTGTAGGGGCCCCGTACGAAGGCTGTTGTGCTGGGTACTGGGCCTGGCCCTCGTAGGCCACCTGGGCCACGTAGCCGGAGTCACCGTTGACAGTGTAGGTCACTGTCTGCAGGCGACCGTCGGGAAGCAGGACACTGTAGGAACCCTGGGTGTCGTAGCCGTCCCGGGACTCCTGGTGGCCGAAGTCATTCCTGGAGTAGTCGTCCTTCAAGGCCCAGCTGAAGTCATACTTGGGAGGAGCCTGAAAAAACAGATTATAACAGTAAATAGTTTTTGTAAAAATGTATGTACCTTTTCTCACGAGTAAAGAAAAGCAAATATTCATATATATACTTTTCGATTACTGGGATTCGACTCCGGTATTAGCATGGCAAGAAACCATAAATAATACTGACTACTGGAGCAGGAGTGCCGTAGGTGGGTGCTGGGACCGGAGCTCTGTATGTAGGCACTGGTGCTGGGGCGTTGTAGGTGGGTACTGGGGCGTTGTAGGTGGGTGCTGGGGCGTTGTAGGTGGGTACTGGGGCGTTGTAGGTGGGTGCTGGGGCGTTGTAGGTGGGTACTGGGGCGTTGTAGGTGGGTGCTGGGGATGGGAGTCTGTATGCAGAAGAGGGAAGTTGGTCGTTGAAGAAGGGTCGTTTGTCGGGTCGAGCGAGTGTGACGACCACAAGGGCAGCCAACACAATAACCTGTGAACAAACATCTTTTAAATACTGAACTCATGAAGAACATTCACTATGTCACCAACTTTAAGCTCAGCCATGTTCGTGAAAGCAGAATGTTTCAAATAATGTGACTACAGGAAGACGCACCTTGAGAGCCATATTGTTGTAGCGATGACTGGAAGCAAGTGAGGAGTGGCGCTGGGCACTCGTCTTATATAGTGGCGGAGTGACCCTCTGGGCACCGCCCACTGCTTGACGTCACGAGGTCACACCAGGAGGAACAGTTGGAGCTCATGATGCTTCCTCTGGTGGATTGACCTTCATGAGTGATCTTTATTTAACAGTTTCATCACAGGTTGAAAAAACGTGGAAAAGAAAGTCTCTTATTTCAGCAATTTAGTGAATCGTAATTGGTGAATTTTGTACGAAATTCTTAGCACGTCTAGTGATAATTATTGTTATTATTGTGTTAGGAGAGAGGTCGGTATGTTGACAGTAGTCACAGATGTGGGAGGGAATTTGTGGACTTGATTTATTTATTTATTTATTTATTTATTTATTTATATATATACAAGAAGGTACATTGGGTTTGTGAGAATACATTGGATAGTACAGTATTTACAATCTTGTAAAGCCACTAGTACGCACAGCGTTTCGGGCAGGTCCTTAATCTAGCAGATAATTTTAAGTAGGTAATTCCTATCAGAATTGATAAATGATAAAGATACATTGCAAGAGAAAAATGAGATGAGAGAGCTTAGTAAGTATATTAAAGCACATTGTTATATTAAATTAAAGTTATATTAAATATTGATGTGATGATGTTGATGATCTGCGATGTTGTACAGGGTCTGGGAACTGACTGTCGAATATATGCATTTTGGATATATGTGATACGTTACCTGGGACCGGGAAATTGGCCGTGAACGCTGTAAAAGAGATGGTTTGCTAGAGTATATGTGTGTTTTATAGTGATGATATAGAAGGGATGTGTGTTTATAGTGATGCTAAAGAAGGGATCTGTGTTGATAGTGATGGTATAGAAGGGATGTGTGTTGGTAGTGATGCTATAGAAGAGATCAGTGTTGGTAGTGGTGCTATAGAAGGGATCTGTGATTATAGTGATGCTATAGAGTTGATGTGTGTTTATAGTGATGCTATAGAAGAGATCTGTGATTATAGTGATGCTATAGAGTTGATGTGTGTTTATAGTGATGCTATAGAAGAGATCTGTGATTATAGTGATGCTATAGGCTGCCTCTACTACTTATTATTTCAGAATATTCTAACTATTG